GGAGCTCACCCCATCACATGGCTGTCAGGTCTTGAACCTGCTGCTGGCTTTCCAGCCGGCAAGCCCAGCATCTTAACCATTGAGCCATTGTACCACCTATATGTGTGTATATAAAACTTTTAATTTAAGATTTTGTTATATAGAAAAGGTAAATGTGTAAATATATATAGAAAAGTTAGAAAAAATAAACAAGCAACATTTACTAAAAAAGGAAAAAAAGACAATTAAGGAATCAATTTCTTATCTTCTTTGCAGCAACTACAAATACCCCTCTCCCTTTTTAAAATTACATTGCCAGATCCTTTCTCTTTCATGTTTAACCCTTTATTTACATCATAAAATCTGAAAATTACTACTGTACTTCACTTTTTTCCCCATTTTTAGCAAAAAGTCCATAAAGTTTCTAGTCTTTTATAAAATCACTTATTTTCTTCCTGACGTTAGATAAACTTCCTCTGACACATTACTGTGTATTTCCTTTCTTTTCTTTAAGATATATGATTTTCACTAGTAATCTGCAAGCATAGAGTACTAGGTTTAAGGTCCCTTTATTGAGAGTTTTGGTTTGAAATAAATTTGAAAGTATTTTTTTCATGCCCCTGCAACATTGTTAGCTATGTAAGTGCATATAGTAAGGTATAAAACAATAAGCTTGTATGTACTCTTATTCAAAATTTGAAAAAGGCATCACATTTTAAAGGGAAAGCCATATGTAAAAAAAATTGAAATATTGGGATTTAACTTGATTAACTTCAGATCAAGGGGATGGGGCAGCATCGCAGATACATAGAATTCATTTCTCGTGAAATGGCATGTAGTCCTAAGCAGCTGTGCTAATTTCAGCAGATGTTAGTCTAAAATATCTTGCAGGCAAACACTCTGGTGGTACTGATTTGTGAATAAGTCTCCCTGCCTGTGAGGAAATGTCAGTGCAATTATAAACAATCTGTTCAGAAGTAACTTTTAAAAAGCAATTTGCAATATGGATGCCAGCAAATATTAAAAAGATTTTGCCTGATTTCGGAATCTAACAAACCATTTTAATACCAATCTGCAAATATCAGATCATTTAAAGCAATAGAGATTTATACCATCATGACATTTTCATGACTGGAGAGTACAGGTAGTCCTTGACTTACGATCACAATTGAG